GTGATGGCACAGAATGATCCTGTTCAAATGAGGGGAAATTCTGAGCAAAATTCCCACCAGCAGTATCAGCACTGATCTCCCCAGCACAGAGACACTGTTTTGAGCTGCACAGACCTGTTTTGGGATGTGTTGCCAGTGGCGGAGCTGGCTACGTACTGGGTTTCGGGTATTGTGACTGACATGATGGTTGCCAACAGTGGGCGCATTTAAAGATCATGTCCCCCTTGTTAAGCCTTAATCAGAACAAGCAGCACCTAAAAGAAGGGAGGGAATCACAAGGGCAGTAAGGAGAAAAGGGGAAATTTAACGTAAAAAGTGGTACTTTATCATATGAGTGCTCAAGAAGAACACAGCAGGAAGGACAAGCATATGTGCTCTTACTGCCCTCATTGCCAACAAAAATCTCAGCCTTTCTAATATATTTCTGGTTGTGAGTGCTTTGAAAATAAAAAGCATTATGAAATACTGAATGAGACACAGAAGGTTTAACTATAATATAGTGCAAGTCTTCTGCCTTGGACCATTAACCCGTTTGTTAGTATGAACTTGAATGAAAGATTCCATTCTTAATACATTCAAGGATAACAATGGAAATTTAACCCTGTCACATAAAAAAAGACAAGGAAAAAACCAAACCATGATTACTTTGCCTCAGGATTGTGTGACTATCACTGATAAAACTAATTTTTTCCAGTGCAGAACCAATTTATTTAGCTTAAGACTCTTTGCTAGGCAGAAGCTGAAGGTTAAGGTTTGACTTAGCTGGTCCTAGTTGCTCATAAATAGCTTTTGAAATGAAATGAAGGGATAAATCAAAAAAGGTTTCAGCCTTGCATTACAAAACCCCAACACTATCACCTTCTTACAAAAAAACAGCGTCTGTGAATGTTGGGGTTCACCTTCTTGATTCCATGGTGTGTGTGTGTAGAGGCCCACAAAAAAGAAAGTTCTAAGAAATTCCCCACTTAGTGTTGGTCGTTTCTCCTGGCTTACAGAAATAGTGAGTTAGCCAGTGAGAGAAGATTCACACCATCATCTTTACCCCTTCCTACTCCCTCTTCTTCTTCCTGGAAACACTAAAGAGCGTGGTATCATCTGTACTCAGCAACAACTATCACATAGCTTGGCTTCATTCAGGATATCTCCAATAAACTTTACAGAACAAACTCTCCTCACCTCTGCAAGGAACAGAATAAAAGGCACTAACCTCAAAATCCTGTCTTAACTAACATTCAAAGTCATCTTCTCTTTCATCTTTTGACTGTCCCTCCTCCTTATCCATTTTTGTCTGAATCTCAAGACACACAGAAACAGAAGTTATATTCTACCAAGGAAATGTAGAATTCTAGCACCATTTCACTTTCTAAGGCACCATTTCCTTCTCTAAAAGGTAATTCATTCTCAATAAAGAAATACCCATTTTATCCCAACTGTCCATTAGTACTGATAGTTCTGGTTTTTAATACGTATTATTAAAAAGCTTTTAAATTCAAAGATCACAGAAGTATTGCTGAATGGTGTATGGAATCCAGCTGTGGTGGACAGTAGGTCTTTGTCCTTCCCACTAATTCTGAGGGAACTCTGGATGGGTCTGTACTAAGAACCGATTAGCAAAGTAGAAATATATGTCTGTTACAGCTACGCTAATCCTGTGGCTCTTTGCCATCCAAGGGTGCAATCCCACTTTCGCTCTCTTACCTGTACACACATTTCCCTTCCACTCTAACTCCTTTATTGTTTAAGACAGAGCAATTGTGTTTCCAGGGGATGATTCAGAGTTCTAAGAGTTCATTTGACTGAACACTGTACTTTCTGAATTTGTGAAGTTGTTTTTCAGGGGGTTACTCTACTGAAACAACTCAACCTGCGGCTACACAGTCACTTGCACTAAATTCAATGCAAGGAAGTTGGTAGCACTGTGTAGCCAGGAGCAGAGCCTCCTCTTTGAGTGACGGGTCTCTGCTGACAGGCACAGCTGTAATGGGAAACTTCACAGATGTTATTTCTGCATTTGTCTTCTGTATCAGAATTGATTTGATCTGGATTGGGCATAAGGACACAATCCAGAGTTAATGCTGCTTTATGCCAGCTGTACAGGAGCAGATAAATATTTAAACTACCAAGAAGGTAAGCTGGTGTGGCAAGCCATCACCAGTGTAGCAAAAAGGCTATCACTGCAAAGATAGCATGTCTGCAGTTTTTGAACCAATTTGAGCAAGCCATGAGTCTATATCAGACTAATGCAAGAAGTTCTTAAATTGGATTCAGTGAACTGTTCAACTGGAGGAAGACAGAGACTGAATTTCACCAATCTTTTCCTGCATGCATTTCAAATAAGGGGGTTTGATTCAGTGGAAGCTGGAATACATCTTGTGAAAGAAAAGGCCACAATTTTTATCCTGCTTGGACTGCTGTGTAGCAGGCTGACCAGGGATCCCTTGGCTTAGTGCTTTTCCTGACCTGTCAGGACAACTGTTTTGTCTTTCTTTAAAGCATTGCAGCTCAAGGCCCAAGTAACTAAAGCAAACAGATTTGCAATGGGTTTTGCAGTGCTCACTTTTTAGAATTTGTTTTGCGAAATAGGATTTTGTAACTCTTCTCACTTTCCTTGTATCTACACATTTGCTATTTCAGTTTAAATACAGGCAATTGTAAAGATGGGACTGAATTTAGTATGCTACCCTGCAATTCAGACAGGACAAGGTTTGACTCATTTATTTATGGTCTTTTGAGCTCATAGAGAAAAAGTGATGGTGAGGCAGAGTAAGAAAACAGTTTGCTATAAATGAGCTGTCAGTCAGGAAGAAAGAATATTACAGTAAAATACCCCAAAACTTCTACCAGCATTAGCTATTCTAGAACTGACTAATACTGTAGCACTACCTTTCAAGCTTCTGTCCAAATTCTGACAGTACAAAAAAGCTGATAACCTAAAACTTAAGCAGTCAAGCTTCATCTGCTTGATGGTAAAGACATTATTAGCAAATGAAAGTTGACAAACCCAAACTTTGGGCTCAAATGAGGTGGAATATGATTTAAAATATGATCAACAAGCTGTGATTTGCTCACATTAAATACTATCACTTGTCCTCAGTAACAGTAAAAGCAAGTGTTGCTGTGATAAAGGCAGAAAACAGTGAAAAGCCAGTTGCATATCCCATCAAGATCTACATATTTATTCCAGGTAACTGGTGATTTTGCAGTGAGTCTGAATGTTGACAGAGAATATCAGAAAACCGAGTTTTTTCTCTGCCCCTTCCATTTTGTTAACATAACACCAAAAGTGTTATAAAATAGCAAAAATACCATTTTTTTTCTATTGCCATATGAAGACAGGCTGAGAAAGTTGGGGCTGTTCAGCCTGGAGAAGGCTGTGTGGAGACCTCGTAGCAGTCTTCCAGTGCCTGAAGGGGGCCTATAAGGATGCTGGGGAGGAACTCTTCATTAGGGACCATAGTGGTAGGACAAGGGGTGTTGGGTTCAAACTCAAATAGTGGAAGTTCAGGTTAGATATAAGGAAGAAGTTATTTATGGTGACAGTGGTGAGGCACTGGAATGGGTTGCCCAAGGAAGTTGTGAATGCTCCATCCCTGGAAGTGTTCAAGGCCAGGTTGGATGGAGTTTTGGGTGACATGGTTTAGTGTGAGGTGTCCCTGCCCATGGCAGGGGAGTTGGAACTGGATGATCTTAAGGTCCTTTCCAACCCTAATTATTCTGTGATTCTATGCCTTTCTCCTAAAGCAGTTTGCATTCAGCAGACTGGACAAGCTTATTTGAATGCCCTCCTAAGAAATCCTCAGGTGTGTAGGAATCAGAGATTCCAATCTTACAATCAGAGATCCTTCTCTTTTTTCAGGAAGAAGACAGTGGCAGGACAGATAACCAGGGCAAAGTAGAGGAAACTTGCAATGTGGGAGGGGAATTTACAACTAAACACACAAGGGCAAACTCCTACTCTTACCAAAACAGCCAGGAGGATATTTTTCAAATGTCTGTGAGGAGGATGCAGGACTTGGTTATTTTCAGAGATCTAATCAGAGTCAGTTTCTTGGAAAAGAATCTCCTGACAGTCCAAGTGATGGACTATATCATTCAGTTACGACATACAGACAGGTGCCTTGGACTAATATATGCTCATACTTTCACTACAAGGGGAAATGGCCAAGTCCATGGTCCCACACGGTGCGCTATCACTCACCTACTTGATTTTACCTGTGCAAAGGGCCTCTGCAACTGACCTGTTTTGGTTTTAATGTGTGTGCATAAGTGTCAGCCAGGGAAATTACCGGATTTGTGCCAGGAGCTGAGGGTTAATCATCACAGGATTGACTAGGCAGGAGAGGGTACATGGTGGCAGGGGGGAAGGAAACCCACAGGAGGTGATACGATCTCAGCAGGGAGCTAGCTTGCATCTACAGCATCAGCTGAGTGCAACTAATGGCTATGCTTATTTTAAGTCAATTTGATGAGGAAGTAATAGCCCACTCATGAGGAAGTCACTGTCAGAGGGATGTGCAGTTGTAAAAAGGAAGGTATTTTACTGTTGTTTGCCTTTAAACCTTTCATTTTACCAGTCCTGACTCACATCAGCAGCATGAGCAGAAGCCCTCTGAACCCAGCTCTCACAGAGCACCTGGCCACCCAGGTGAAAATAAAAGCCACTCACCCAAATAAACAAAAACAGGCCCCCATCCCTATAAAATCTTTCCTCATTCCCATGTGCCTGGAGGTGCAGTAACACTACCAATGCCACCAAAAGAAAAAGATCATAGCTCATATCCCTTGCTCCTGCCTGCAAAGTTCCCAGAGAGGGCAAACTCTCCTCATTGCTCACTTTATAGCTTTGTCACCCTGCATTGCATAAAGTCCATTTCTGTGGATGCCCACTACCCAGCACTCAGCCTATGGGCAGGATACCCCTGTAGCCCATGGTGACCCCAGACCTCTCCAGGCTCCTGCATCCTGAGGGGATGCAGGATCCTGGTGCCACTCTGCCTTACCTGTGGGGCTGTGTGGATATCCTGGAGAAGTAGCAGGAGCCACAGTCCTAGTGCCAGGCTGCAGTAAGCCATCTGCAGTGGTGTTAAATCTCCTTACCCCCCAGCATCACAGGTTAGACAGCCAGGCTGCTCCTCCCAGAGTCAAGATACTCCCAGGGTCCAGCCCAGTCTTGCTTCGTGTCTGTTCATTCAGTGCAGAGAGAGCTATTTCAGATGATCAAGACAAGCAGGAGACAGGCTTTGAGACTCAAGCAAGCTGAGAAAACAATTTAGAAGGAAGGGGAGGGGGAGGGGAGTGGGAAGGGGGGAGGGGGGGAGGGATGATGGACTCCCCACAAAAGAAAAGTAAAACAATAACAAACTAAATCACATCAATCACTAGTCCCGGAGCCATCGTGTTTCTGTGGGTCGGTTGCATGCATTAAGGCTGTCACCAAGGCACACTGCTGGCTGTGCAGAAACACAGGCGCCTGAGTCATCTAAGCTGCCCTCAGAGAGCACTTCAGCACCCAAAGCCTTGGCCAGGCATGAGTCCAAGCCCTGCCCTGCCCATCTGCCACTCTCTCAAGAGCTGCAAACGCCTCAAGAGAGTTCCCAGTAAGAAACGCTCAGTTTTTCTCAGTACAGTCCTTCGCCTCCTGCTTGAAGGAGTATGTGAAAACTTACAACCAACCATGGTGACTTCATGAAGGTTTAGGCTTTACATACTGTAATTTAAACACCAACAAACCATCGACCATCACCTTGAGAATCCTTCTCTTCCCTCCAGTCCCACTTGAAATCAGTTCCTGTTGCTGACCATCATTTCCCTTGGACTGCTACTTGTCTTTTCACTCACGTCTGTTTGTTCCTCTGGATAACGTTTTTTGGCTCTGGTGCTCAGGAAGAGTTTAGCTGAGTTAAGGTGACATGAAGGTTTCTTATCTGCCCTAAAAGTTTTACTGAAAGTAAAAGTTAGCCACTTCAAAAAGAGACAGACTGTCTTGAAAACTTGCTGAGGTGCTCAGGAAAATGAGAATTTGAATTCTCACACCCATGGTTTGGTTTTCTTTTTATTCTTTTCTTCTCACTCTTATCAGCAAAAAGAAAAACAAAAGAAAGAGGAAAAGATTGAAAGATGGATAACTGATTATTTTATTGAAGACCCACAGCTACCTCACTGCCATCACAGCAGAGTACCAATGAGAGCATTCCACAGGGAATGATGCAAATGTTTTCTTAAACTCACAGCTATAAATCTTTTCTTTTTAACTATCTGCCTCTATTTCTTTCCCCAGAATACCATTTTATATAACCCAGACACTTCAGATCATTGCATATTGTGTATGTGACACATAAATTTAACCCCCTGCCTTCACTCTGTCAAGTTACTTCTGAGTTTCTAACCATTCTTAGCTATAAAAGCTACTGTGGTAGGGATGCCATTAAGATCTAGAGACAAATAAGTATTTGAATGTCCAAATATAACATACTTGGATTCCCTAATTAAAGAATGGGCTAGAAAACATCTTGTGTAATAATAGGGAATTCTCCCAATCTGTGAGTGCAGTTTCAAATTATGTAGTTATCAGGGTAAATAGTGAGCTCTGTTTGTATTTTTTCTCCCCTTGTTTGTTTTTTCTCCTTTTTCCTTTTTTCTTATGTTGTCTGATCAGCTCCCATTTAAGCTTTTCTAGCAAAAGGACAGGAACCACCTAAGACACAGCCTGGAAAGCTATACAAGTCTCCATAAACTATACTGCTGAGGTCAACACATCTGATATAAAATCTAAGTATCCAGCTACAAAAATTCATGTGTGACAGACTTTCCCAGGACTGTCAACAGGGAAAGTTTTCAGACCTGTTTTCCAGAAAAAAAAGCTAAGACTAAAATGAGTATACTGAGCATTTTGTATATATATGTATGTCAGTTCCTTTTAAATCAATGAAACCAATGATTTCTTAACCCATTGGTTAAATCTGGCTGAGGATGCACTGTCATTAAGTTTTACAAAGCTTCATGGAATGAGATGACTTAGATACAGAGAAAAGGTTCTACTAATAGCCTCACAGAGGGAAAGGCAGGAGTGGGAGACCAGTGCTCCTCAGAAGAAATAATCGGCCTCACATGCCCAAAGTGAAACCAGGCTTCCCACTGCCATCCTTCTTAGAAATTTTTAGTCTTAAATTCATTCTCACTTGACCTAGATATTTAAAATGGAAGTGGAAAGTGCTTATTGTTGCTGGCTTTTTGGAAAGGCTATTACATCACACAATACTATTACAAGTGACTAATAAAAGCAACAGCAATGATAAGGGTGAAGAGGTTGGGTTTCATAGGAACATTGCAACCTGTATGCATTTTTAAATGAATGCATTAATTTCAGACTTTGTGTGTTTTGATTTCAAATACAATGAAAGGGGCTTTCCAAAAGAAGCCCTATCAGTAACTTTAGTAACTAGAAGAAGCACCTCCATTTTATAACAAACGCACACTATTGTTCTCTAAACGTTGCCTGTATTTTCTAGAAGATAATCCTCTTTGTTCAGATAACTTTAAAGCAAAAAGAAGCAGAACAAATAGAAGCAAACAACCCCCACCAATTTCTCTGCTCCTCCATCAGAGGACAATGTCTATCAGAACAAAAACAGGAAAACCCCTTGTCCTGGGTTCAGCAGTATCAGTCATTTTTTCTCCTTCTTGGCAGCTGGTGCAGCGCTGTGTTTTTGACTTTCGGCCTGGGAATGGTGCTGATAGCACCGATGTTTTTAGTTACTGCTCAAATATTTGGTCTGGCCAAGGACTTTCTGAGCCTCATGCTCTGCCAGGGAGGGGGGGGGGAAACTGGGAGGAAGCAGAGACAGGACACCTGACCCAAACTGACCAAAGAGGTATTCCATACCACAGCACGTCATGCCCAGGATGTAACTGAGAGTTACCCAGAAGGACTAGGGCACTGCGGGGTTGGACTAGGTACCAGTTGGTGCTTGGTCGGGCTGGGGGGACAAGTTATCGGTTGGTGGGTGGTGAGCAGTTGTATTCTCTTCCCTTGTTATTTCTCTTATCATTATTATCATTGGTGGTAGCAGTAGTGATTTGTGTTATACCTTAGTTACTAAACTGTTCTTATCTCAGCCCATGGGAGTTGCATTCTTTTCGATTCTCCTCTCCGTCGCTCTGAGAGTAGGGGGAGGGCAAGAAGGGGGGGAGTGAATGAACAAGCTGTCTGGCTGGGGTTAAACCACGCAGCCGCTCTAAGGCATGTTATTGTTATTTATGATATTTATTTGATTACATGCATCCATCTCTAACATTCAAATCTCTTTTGTTTGAGGTGCTAAAGGTGGCAATACCCAAACACAAGGTTGCGTGGCATTTTCTATTTTAGCTAATTTTGTTAATGCCAAGCTTAGTTAGTGCTTAGGTAAGTTTTACACCAGGTATCTGATCTGTGCTGGTCATGTGTGTGTAGTGTGAAGCTGAGACGGAGGGGATTAGAGAAGGTCCTGTAAATCAGCAGTTAGTAAAATGTTGCTTGATACTAGGAGCAAATGAATGCAAAGACCCAGCTAAGCCATGAAGGAAAGTTTCTTTAGCACATGCCCATTGTCTATTGAGCTGCAAACAGTGACAGCCTAGTAAAGAAAGTAGTAATGGAATATTGTAGAAATAGCATTATGACACACATGCTCAAGCAAAAGTACTCACTACATTTTCTGGTTTTGAAGTGGCTGATTTTAGTCTCAAATTATACTTTTAAGCATGGTTCTTTCTGTTTTTAAGGAAGTATGTTCAGTTAATATATATCCAGCTGTATCAGTGAAGAAACAGAGATGTGTCATCTCTAAACATCTGTCAAACACATAAAGGAGACCATGAAATTGTCATGGTTTAAGCTCAGCCAGTAACTCAGAAACATGCAGCAGCTCGCTCACTCCCCATCTTCTTCCACCCATTGAGCTTAAAACATGACAGAAATTTAAAAGTATACATCTTAAACTAACCTTGTCTAAAATCGGTATTTCAGTGTCTGACAGTGTTGCTATTCAGAGCATTGCAGTATGATGATGAAAAATCACTGAGTGCTTGCTACTTAGCTAGATGAAACACCACCAGACACTAATAGTTCACTAGGAGTTCTCAGTAGTACCAAAGGCAGCACTCGCTGGGTTACGTGTTACATGCTATAAGGGGTACAAATGAAAGGTGATTCTTAACAAACTGAAAAAACTAAAGAAAGCATAAGGAATTTATTGTAATACAAAGCCAAGAATCTCAAATGTTAAAGGAAGGAAAGCAAGTAGTCACCACAAACTACTTTCTTGACACCTCTCTCAATAGCATTTCAGCTGTCAGAGAACTCTCTTCCTGGGGATCTTGGAAAACAACGCTCTTGTAACAACACTTAGGGAGAGCATTCAGCATCCCAGTGATTTTAGGCACTGTAAGTGAAGCCAAGACACTGTAGGTGACATAGTATTTTAACTGAATATGTACGAAGGAACAGCATCTCATTTACGCCAAGTATGCCACAGATAGGCAAAATTGGGTCCCTCTATGTCACTCTGGTACTGACACATTTTCTGGCACACTTCTATTATTCTTAGTGTTAGATATTTGTCAATCCATTTAATTATTTCCCATCAGTCAAACCACTCTGCAATATGCTAAATATATTGCAGATACTGTTGATAACATGATTTGCAGAGCTATATTGATTTAGCAATTTACCTTGGTATATTTATCCACTGTCATCAATAAGGGAGACTATATGAAGCTCTAGTTGCATGCTTGTTGAAACTTAGCAATGGCTTAAGACAAGAGTTACTAGCAGGAGAAAGAACTGGTTATAATGAGCTAGGGTCATAACCAAATCCCAGTACACAGGGGTAATCCCAAATAATTTCACGAATTGTAGTTTCAGCAGATGGACATTCTCACAGGGTGATTCTGTTATTTAGTAAAAATAACAGAAAAACAAATCAGCTTCCCTGCTTCACATACAGTTTGATGCATACACAAATCAGTAATCTTAAAGAAAAGATCAGACTAGTCCTTAGTTGTTTTCAATCATGACTTTTGTCTCAATCAGCTGTGCTCTTGCTGAGCACAGGAATTTTCTTGGCCATTAATGAATAGTCAAAGGAAGGAGATGCATCCTGGTCTGTTCCCAAGAAATAACAAGGTGACTTTTTTCCTTTTTTAGTAACAGAATATAAGGTACTTACGTGAAACAACCAA